CTATGAAGTTAGTGATTTCATCAACTCTCACTCCTTTCTTAATAACCCAGAGTCATATTTTAGATTACAAAATTATTTTTCTCAGATTTTGATAAAAATAATTTTTACAACTGTTTTTTTATTTAAACCTAATTAAGGTTTTTATCACCTTACGTGACTCTTGTTTTTATTTTCAAAGATCAGAGTTCTAGTCTCTCTTCTCTCCACCTTCCACAAAGGGTGGCTTGGTTGCCTTAGAGGGATTACATATATGGGGTCCATACTTGATAGCATTGAACTTCTAGTGCCTTCTAGATGTGATTCAGTAGTACAGCATATTGGTAAATATCATAGGCTTTGAGCCACTCTTCTTGCACTTGAATCCTACCACCTTCATTTATTAGCTGACTTCATGATGTTGGACCAGTACATCAGCTCTGTGTATCTTAGTTTTTTCATTAGTAAAATGGATTATGATAGAAAACCTCATAGACTTATTGGGAGGAATAAATGATAAATGTTAAACTTAGACTAGTGCTCACCTTATAGTAAATGCGCAATTAATATTGTATATACTCATAGAAATACCCATTTTTCAATCCACAAAGTTATTTCTCCTAATCATATGGCCTGTTTGTGTTGAATTCAGTGAGTTTTTTTTGAGGGGTGTGTAAATATTTGAGTTCTGTAGCCTGGATGTCCTGAAGCCCATGTCTAGCTCATTGCACATAAAATTACATAGGAAAATTATAAAAATATAGAATCTCTAGATTTAAGCACAGGTAGGACAAAGGAATGAATCAATGTCCTTGTGTTTCAGATGGGCTTAGCATATGAGCCATGGGCCTAGACCAAACTCCAAGCTAGAATAGCTTGTTGGCTTGTTCTTAGGTGTTCATATTAGAATGGGAGTTATGTTTAAGGTATTCTAAAGTTTCACACATTGACCATTTAATCCTTGGTGATCTGAAGTTGAATTTTTGAATTGGGAATGACATTACTAATCATCTAGGACTGCATTTTGCATTTGGCAACTTGTGGCTGTTTAAATTAAGACTTTTTTTTTAGTTAAGCTCATTTTTCATGTCTTTTAA